GATTATAGTGAAAATCCCTTGTTGAGGCAAGGGTACTAGACTACTCTCAGTTTAGGAGAGGAACCAGGATAAATTATATCTGTTGATTTACTCTCAGTTCTGAACTCTTTTTATTCCACTGCTACTATTATTCTATGTTCAGACTCTTAACTTGTTCAGATTATGAAGTTGTATTTTCAGAAGATAAAAAGAATCGACATACAAAATTCAACCCCCCTTCTTTTCTATTTTTCTCACCTTCAGTTGGCATCAGAGCACGGTTTGTGTTAAACATTTTACTGTGGTATGGTAAATAATCCTTAGAAAAAAAACTTATGTTATCATGTCAGGTGTATCTCTAACAACTAGTGGTATTCCCTATGACTATAATACTAATGAGAAAAGTCATTACTCGGCTAAACCTTCTACATTCAGTGGTGATTCCACTCAGTTTGAATGTTGGAAAAATAAAATGTATACTTATATCATTCACATTGATGATGAGTTGTGGGATATCCTTGAAGAAGATATTGACATTGGTTGTCAATGGTGTTGAAATGGTAAAGCATAGGAAAACCCTCACACCAGTTCAAAATAAAAATTACAGAAAACATCATAGAGTCAGAGGTATTCTGATAGAGGCTCTACCATATTATGAATACATAAAAATCATTAATAAGTTTTCTACTAAGACTATCTTTGAATCTTTATGTTCTACTCATAAAAGGAAGCAACAAGTCAAAGAGGCTAAGGCCAACCTTCTTGTACAACATTATGAGTTGTTCAAAATGAAGGATGATGAAGACATTGAAACCATGTTTTCTAGGTTTCAAGTTCTTTTATCAGACCTTCAGGTTCTGAGCAGAAGTTACACTACATCTGACCATGTAAAGAAGATTTTGAGAAGTCTCCTTGCAAGATACAAACCTAAGGTCAAAACTATTAAGGAGTCTAAATATCTGAATACACTGAGCCTCGAAAGTATGATAAGCAATCTTTAGAGCCATGAAATGGAACTGAATGGAGACGAACATTTGATGAAATTTAAAACATTGTCCTTGAACTCAATATTTGAAAGATCTAGGGGTAAAGCTGCCAGGTCCTCAAATGTCTGGTAATCAGAAGAAGCTTTTGATGAAGAAATTTCTGATGATGAGGAAGTGACCTTTATCATCAGGAGGTTTCAACAAATGACAAAAAAGGAACAAAATATTCTCTGGTAGAAGCAGTAGCTTTAGAGGATCTAGTGATAAATACAAAGTTAAGGATCAAAATAATTGCTTTAACTGTAAGAAGCCTGGTCATTTCAGCACTGACTGTCCTGATTTGCAGAAAGAAATTTCAAAGAAAGGAAGCTTCCAAAAGGAAAACTTCATAAGTAAATTCAATAAGATTCTCATGGCAACATGTGATGAGCTTGATAATGAAGATGGTTCATATAAAAGATGAGGGAGAATAAAATCTGGCAATGATGGCTCTCACATCCTTTGACACAAAATATGAATCAAATTTTGATTTAGAGTCTGACAAAGAAGACGATGTATTTTCTAATTTATCTTGTTTTGATCTTATCTCTTTCATTCAAGAACCCATGAGTCATTTTCAAGGCAAGGAAAGACACATGAAAACATTGAAAAAACAATGTGATCTTCTAAAAGAAGAATTAACAACTTCTCAAGAAAAAATTAAATCTTTGGAAAAAGTTCACATTGCTCGACTAAATAAAGTGTCTGATAAAACCTTGACTGAGCATGAAATGACTCTTCAAGATTTTATCATAACTAATCTTGAGAGAACAAAACTTACTGCCATGATATATGGAGTAAGTAACACCAGAGGAAAAGGTATAGGTTACAATTAGAAATGTGTTAATCCAAAAGCTCAACTCTTGAAAAAATCCTTAAACACTTCTCCTTCAAGCAGTGCTCTAATAGTATAGAAAAACTGTTTTGTGCCTGCTTCTGATAAAGAAAAAAGTTTGAACTAATCAGAACCTAAGATAACAAAATCAAAGGTTGTAAAAAAGTCTGTACCCGAGACATCAAAGTCAAACGTCCTGAACAAATATGAACCTTTTATTGAAAAATCAAAGGTTCTGAAGAATCTAGAACCTAAAAATCTCAAGTCAAAGGCTCTAAAAATATCAGAACCCAAAACTTGTGGATCAAAGGTTCTGAAGGGTTCAGAAGTCAAACTCAAAACTTATCATAGACAAAAATTTTATAAGCAAAAAGTCTAGAATGAGTCTAGACACTTTTATCAGAAAAAAGGCTCAGAATAAATGGAAGTCTATCAAAACTAACAATAGAGGACCCATAAGATTATGGGTACCTAAATCACTAATTGTTTTTTCTGCATATATGCCAAAAGAGAGAAACAAGGAAACAATCACGGTACCTAGACAATGGTTGCTCACGTCTTATGACGGGAGAAAAGATTATGTTCCAAACTCTGACTCTGAAGGAGGAAGGAAGTGTGGGGTTTGGATAAGGATAGAAAGGGAAGGTTATTCGTATGGGAACTATTGGTAATGTCTTAATCTCTTTCAATAATGTTTGGTTAGTAAGTGGACTTAAACATAATATTTTGAGCATAAGTCAAATTTGTGACAGTGGTTATGAAGTTTTGTTTGATAAGAACTTCTGTTTAGTTATCAATGAGTCTGACAAATCCATTATTCAAAGGTAAGAGGAAGGGAAATATTTATAAAACTAATCTTTTTGAATTGACTGACAAAAAGGTTGTTTTCCTTATGTCAGTGAGTGATGAAAAATGGGTATGATAAGTTTTAGCATGCTAACTGGAGATTGATCTCTAAACTTAGCAAGCTAAAACTTATTAAAGGGTTGTCATATCTTGATCACCACTCAGATGTTCTCTGTGGAGCATGTCAGGTAGGAAAGTTTAACAAACCTCTTTTAAATCCAAAAATATTGTCTCGATCTGTAGACCCTTAGAATTACTTCACATTGATTTATTTGGTCCTGTTATGACTGCTTTAATCAATGGGAAGAAGTATGAATTGGTCAATGTTGATGATTATAGCATGTGGACTTTGCTTAAATTCCTTAGATCCAAAGATAAATCATATGAGGTATTCAACATCTTCTGAACACAAGTTCAATCTGAAAAGGAATTAAAAATCCTAAAAGTCAAAAGCACTCATGGTGGTGAATTTGAAAGTGAGCCATTTAATATTTTTTGTGATAAGCGTGGAATTATCCATGAGTTATTTTCTCCTAGAACTCCACAGAAAAATGAGGTTGTAGAAAGAAAGAATAGATCATTGAAAGAAATGGATAAAACCATGATCCATGAGAATCATCTTCATAAATACTTGGGAGCAGAAGTTGTTAATACTTCTTGTTACATTCAGAACAGGATCTATATCATACCAATTCTGGAAAAAAAACATCATATGAATTGTTTAAAGGAAGAAATCCAAGCATATCCTACTTTCATTAGTTTGGTTGTACTTGTTACATTCGAAACAATAAAGTCTATTAAAGAAATATAATGCTAAAGCTCAAAAGGGTATCTTCTTAGGATATTCTTATCGCTCTAAAGCATACAAGGTTTATAACTCTGAAACCAAAATGGTTGAAGAGTGTATACATGTTAAATTTGATGACAAAGGGCCTAACTATGATATGTCTGAGTTTGTTGAAAGTTTTGCAGATATTCAGGTTTCTGAAGATCATCCAGAGGCTATACCTTCAGAAGTGAAGAGCTCATAAGTCAAAAGATTAGAACCTGTTGAACCAAAAACTGACCAAAATTCTGAACCTCACCCAGAAGCCAAAGATGGTCCGGAAGTTTCTAATCAACCCAAGAAGTCCTTCAAATATAAATATTCTCGTCTAAAAGAGCTAATAATTATAAATAAGGATGATCTCTTAAGAACTAGATCAACTTTCAGAGATGATAATTGTATGCTAGGATTTATTTCCTTGATTGAGCCAAATTCTATTAATGAAGATTTATCAGATGGTGGATGGATTATGGCTATGCAAGAAGAGCTGAACCAGTTCCAAAGAAATGATGTTTGGGATCTAGTTCCAAGACTAAGTCAGAAGAACATTATTGAAACAAAATGAGTGTCCGTGAACAAATTGAATGAGCAACGAGAAGTGGTAATGAATAAGGCTTGACTTGTAGCTCAAGGTTACAGTCAGCATGAATGTATAGATTTCTCTTAAACCTTTACTCTCGTGGCAAGGTTAGAGGCAAACAAACTTCTAATATTAAAAAATAAATCTATAAAAACTATGAATAATTGTTGTCATTTTCTAAAAAAAACTTAATTGAAAATTAGCCTAAAAAGTAATGAAATTAATCTCTAAACTAATGACACCATTATTTAGTTCATTTCCAAAACATGGATTAAATGAAAATAAAACTACCTAATTATCATGATTTCCTAACGCATCAAGTACTAAAATATACTAAAAGCAATTAACTATAATTAAAAATAAAGATAAAATAATAAAGAAAACCAAAAAGAAGAAAAAAACTAGAATCAGGAGGTGTATATGTGTAAAGTGGGTGTAGGAATGAATAGCCTAGGCCAAAGGTGGAGAGGCCCACCCGAATCCTGTTCAGCTAAGTTCATTCCCAATTGCTTCCAAAATCCCTAGCCACATGAAATCGAAATTGAAAACAAATCAAAATCCCCTGCAAAAGTGACATCAGCGTCTTCCACCACGAACTCGAAAATCACCCGCGAAGATGACGTCAGAAGATTCAACATGAACTCACCAATGAATCGTTGGCGAATATAAACTCAGCAATCGCTCGCTAAAACGGCATCAGGAATTTCAACATGAACTCGAAAATCGCTTCTTGAAATAAGTCGCTTCGAGCAAACGCGAACTGCAGCGTGTTCATCTTGATCTCTTTGCAGCGAGCGACTTATTTGCAACAGAAAACACCATAACTTAGCTTTAATGCTTTCGGATTGTATTGATTCAGGATTGGGAATCCATAAGTTCAACATGTCAGGCGCGTAATTTGGACGAGGAATGGCGTGGAAGAAGCGTCAATTTAAGCGAGAATCCGAAGAATACGTACCGAAGAGGAATTTCGATGCGATGGCTCTCCGAAATCGGCATCGACGGAAGCTTCACAGGTATTACTTTGTTCTTCTCCTTCCTCGTTATTCTTCTACACTTTTCTTCTTCAATGCTTGCTCAATCTTCTTCCCCACTCTGTTGTTGTGGTTGCTGTTTATTTTTTGTGTTGTTTCTGCGTGAATTGTTGTGTGAGGAATGTGCAAAAGGTTGAAAGAGTTAGAGTGAGTTGATGAATTGTGAGAGGAGGGTGTGAGGAATCTGAGAGGTGAGGGTGAAGAATGATGAATTTGTAGAGAGGTTCTGAGAGTGATGAATAGAGGCTTAAACTCCACAAATTGAGGCTTCCACGTGAGGTTTCAATGGCATTGTGAGGAGAGCTCTGGTGAGGGTTTGGTGAGAGGTAGAAGATGAAATGAGAATCAGAGAGAGAGAGAGAGAGAGCCAATTGTGAATGGAGAAGGTGATGAATGATGATGAAGGTTTGTTATATAGGCTGTAGATTCGGATCAGAATGAGGATTAAATTGAGGTTTGGAGTTAGTTATGTGAGGTTTGGAGTTAGTTAGATTGAATTCACTGAGTTGATTGCAAACTCAGTTAGTTATTTTTTCTACTCAGTTAGTTACAAAATTCGTTACGAGGTTAGAGTGAGTGTTATCATTTGAAGTGAACAAGGAAAAAGGATGCCCTGCTGCTAATCTGTTTTTGAAGTTATGCAGTTTTCTTGTGTTAGTTGTGAAACTGTCATGAAATTAGGATGCATCAGTTAGTTATGCAGCTAGGAGTATTGGTTTTGAAGGTTAAGTGTAATTGAAAGTTAGTCTGTTAGGTTAGTAAAAGCATTTAGAGTTTATAACTGTAAGAAGTAGCTACAGTTATTGTTAATTTCCTATTGAATTTTAATTTCTGTTAATTTCAGTTGTACTGCTAGAGCTGTGTGGAATCATTTTTTATCAATGCGTTAGCTTATTGCTTAAAAATAGTTAATATTAATGTTGGTTAATCAATTAGTAGTGTAACTAGGTTAGTTGCAATTTCATGTTAAACTGTTAGTAGGAATTAGTTAGCGTTCTGTTAGTAGGAATTAGTTAGCGTTCAATTTGTTAGGATTTATCATTGAAAGTATTTTTGTTAAATTGGTTAGCTGTTAGTACAAACTCTATTGCAAGAGTTAGTTGAGGTTTTGAATTGGGCCTGTTAGTAATGAATGATAGGAAAATTTTATCCCATATTCTTACAATTATATCCATACCCCTACATTTTAAAAAAAATACTAATTTTATTCCTGTCTAATTTTTATTATTTTATTTTTCTACTTTTTACTGTCCTGTCAGATTTTCAGAGTTTCGAAAAATTCACCCATCAAGTCGTTCGGAACACTTTTAAAATGACTTCCGATGTTATTTTTTCCAAACCGGAAGACTTTGGCTAAGAGTTCCGGTTTATACAAAATATGTACCGGAAGATGAAAACAAAGACTTCCGATTTGAGTTTTACGAGAAATCTTTCGGAAGACTATATGTCATGTCTTCCGGTTTGGTAGTATTATTTACTGGAACACTTGTCTTAAGAGTTCCGGTATGGAGGAAAAGTGTACCGGAACACTTTTTACAAGTTTTTCGGTTTATTATCTTTGTCTGCCGGAATTCTTTTCCTGAGTCTTCCAGTTTGCTTTTGTAAAAAAAAATTTATTTTTTATTTATTCAGGTACATAAATTCCTTCACAAATATGCGATAAAGATCAGATATGTGTATATACGTTTGATGTTTTTTCAACTACTCAAAGATTTGGTACACGAGAACCGTCTGATGTTTTTTCAACTACTCAAAGATTTGGTACACGAGAAGAGGTGATAAGATGAATTAAAGAGATCGGAATCCGAAATAAAGTAACGGTTATCATCACTCGTTCAGATATTGAAATAGGTAAGAGAAGAAGAAGTAACAAATTAATATTTGAATGTGATAAATGTGGAAAATACAAAGATATTGATAGTGGAGCTTAGAGTGCGACGAAAAAAATGTGGATGTCCATTTAGAATCAGGTCAATTCCAACGACTGATGGATCTGGATGGAAGATTGATGCAAAATGTGGAGTTTATAACCATGGTTTACCTGATAGATTAGAAGGTCACACATTTGTTGGTAGGTTGACAGCAGATCAGAAGCAACATGTTGTTGATTTGACAAAGAGAAAGGTTCTACCTAGACATATATTGTTTTCATTACAAGAGTAAGATTCAGATAATGTCACTCGGATCACGCAAATATACAAGTAGGAGAGTATGATAGAAAAAAAATATAAGAGGTCTTATAAGTGAGATATAACATTTGTTTAAGCTTATTGAGGATACAAGTTATGTTTATTGTAGTAGAAAAAGAGATGACTCTGAAGTTATTAGAGATATATTTTGGGTTCATCCATATTTAGTTAAGTTGTTAAATATTTTTCCTATTGTGTTAGTTATGGACAGTACTTACTAGATAAACAAATATAGGCAACCTCTGTTTGAAATTGTTGGCATGACATCAACCGAGTTGACTTTTGTTGTTGCATTTGCGTTAATTGAGTCTGAGCAGATTAAGACTTTTTGTTGGGTGCTAGATAAGCTTAAACAATTGTTTGTGAAGAAAGATTTGTGTCCATAAGTGATTTTGACATATAGAGATCTTGATTTGATAAAAGCCATTGAAATTGTGTTTCCAAGGTCGATTATGTCGATTTCATATTAACAAGAATGTTGGTCCAAAATGGAAACAATATGTGCTAGTGACATGCAAAAGAAAATTGACGAATTATGGACAGATGTTGTATGGACTAGTGATGAGGTTGAGTATGATCAAAGGTTGAACCAACTTGAGGAGACGTGTGTTGATTATAATGAATTTATTGATTATGTGAAGGACATATGGTTGACACCACATAGACAAAGATTTGTTGGAGCATGGATTAATCGAGTGTTACGTTTGGGTAACACCATGACTAATTGGTATGTATTTATTTTTAGTATTTTTAAATTGTATATCTTTTTTATATTTTTTAAAAATATTTTTAATATGTATTAATTTTAGGGTTGAGTATGCTCATTGCAAGTTAAAGCAAATGTTGGGGAACAAATGGTCAAATGTTGGGAGGTTATGAATGACAACTTAAAGTTACAACTGGGCAAAATTAGAGCTTCTTTTTAAGAGAGTTTTTATGAAGTTGAGCACGTCCATATAAGTCCATTTTATAATAATTTATGTGGTTCAGTGTCTCGAGATGCATTGAGACACATTGTTGAGGAGTTAAAACGAGTTGATTATGTTGGAACTAACAAAGAAATATGTTGTTATACTCTTAGAACAACCTACGGATTACCTTGTGCTTGTGAGTTGACAGGATATAGAATTGATGATATGCCCATACCAATAGATTTTTTGTGCATGTTCATTGGATAAAACTAAGTATGGAAGTTAAGTTGGACGAAAACGTAGATGATGGATCAGAGGTGGATATGAGTAGTGCAATAGATGAGTTATGCAAAAGGTTTAAGTCACTGGATGTTGTTTGGAAAAGGACATTAAAAAGTAGGGTTTTTGAACTTGTCTTCCCCATAATGACTTCTATGTGTCCACCTCCTTAGAAAATAAAAACTAAAAGGGGAATCAAGAAGAAAGGCAAAAAACCAGTATGGTATGATGTTTATAGAGACTCTTCGTATCACGAGTATGTTGATCAAGCATCGCAATCTTCACAGAGGCAATCTCAACCATCACAGACTTCGAAGAAATCTCAACCATCACAGGCTTCGAAGAAGTTGAAATTATCACAATCTTCACAGTCATCTAAGCAGTTCATCCTTCAGTTTCCTAATCACATCAGGTCATATATTGATGATGTAGTTAATGTTGTATCAGATGGTAATTGTGGATTTAGAGTCATTGCTTCATTGCATGGATATGTTGAAGATGGTTGGCCAATGGTTCGTCGAGACTTGGGGTTGGAAATAATACATAATGAAAGATCAAGTTTGTATGCCAATTTATTTATTGATCAGTTAGCAGTTAGCAGTAGTGAGAGAATCTTTGATGATAGAGACATTTGGTCCTTAAACACCACATAAATGGTTAACTCTACCAGATATGGGTTACATGATATCAAATTGTTATAATGTTGTACTTGTCTGTTTAGGATTTTAATGCTGGACTTTCTTCCCTATGACAACTTCATTTTTACCAAACGTATTATTTTACTGCATTGGTTTTGTAAACACAAATCATTGGGTTCAGATACTTAGTTATTTTTAGATAATGTGATTAAACGTAACTCTTTTTTGTTATTTTTACTTAATATTTTGATTATTTTTTATTTAGCTAAACATGAAAGAAGGGTTTTCATTGCCACCAGTGGCAGTAGATTGGAAGAAGTTTCGTTCTCCAACAGCAACATCTTGGATGCTAGGATTTGCAGGACGTCTACAACATTGGCAACAACTTACGCCTATATTACCAACGCATTATAAATTATGTTACTCATTTTTAATTTCACGCTACAAGTTAACACATAAACATAAACCAACTAAGTCAAATGAGTCTAAAAGTAACACATAACCATAAATATAAGCCAACATGTCTAAAAGTTAATTAAAACAAAAAAATACTAAATCAAAATTTACCCCATCTCCTACATGTATTTATTTTAATTTAGTATATTTTGTTTTAATTAACTTTTAGACGTGTTGACTTATATTTATGGTTATGTGTTAACTTGTAGCGTGAAATTAAAAATGAGTAACATAATTTATAATTCATAATGTGTTGGTAATATAAGCGTAAGTTGTTGTCAATGTTGGAGACGTCTTGCAAATTCTAGCATCAACGAAACTTCTTCCAATCTACTTTCAATCTACTGTCACCGGTGGCAATGGAAACCCTTCTTTCATGTTCACCTAAATAAATAAAAAAAAATCAAAATATGAAGTAAAAATAACGAAAAAGAATTAGGTTTAATCACATTATCTAAAAATAACTAAGTACCTGAACCCAATGATTTGTGTTTACAAAACCAATGCAGTAAAATGATACATTTGGTGAAAATGAAGTTGTCATAGGGAAGAAAGTCCAACATTCAAATCCTAAACAGACAAGTACAACATTATAACGATTTGATATCATGTAACCCATATCTGGTAGAGTTAACCATTTATGTGGTGCTTAAGGACCAAATGTCTCTATCATCAAAGATTCTCTCACTACGGCTAACTGATCAGTAAATAAATTGGCATACAAACTTGATCTTTCATTATGTATTATTTCCAATCTCAGGTCTCGACGAACCATTGGACAACCATCTTCACCGTATCCATGCAATGACTCTAAATCCACAATTACCATCAGATACAACATTAACTACATCATCAATATATGACCTGATGTGATTAGGAAACTGAAGGATGAATTGCTTAGATGACTGTGAAGATTGTGATAATTTCAACTTCTTCGAAGCCTGTGATGGTTGAGATTTCTTCAAAGTCTGTGATGGTTGAGATTGCCTCTGTGAAGATTGAGATGCTTGATCAACATACTCGTGATACGAAGGGTCTCTATAAACATCATACCATACTGGTTTTTTGCCTTTCTTCCTGACTCCCCTTTTAGTTTTTATTTTCTCAGGTGGTGGACACATATAAGTCATTGTGGGGAAGACAAGTTCAAAAACCCTACTTTTTAATGCCCTTTTCCCAACAACATACAGGGACTTAAACCTTTTCCATAACTCATCTACGTCTTCGTCCAACTTAACTTCCATACTTAGTTTTCTCCAATGAACATGCACAACATCTATTAGTATCGGTATACCATCAAATTCTATATCCTGTCAACTCACAAGCACAAAGTAATCTGTAGGTTGTTTTAAGAGTACAATGACATATTTTCTTGTTAGTTCCAAGATAATCAACTCGTTTTAACTCTTCAACAATGCATCTCGAGACACTGAACCACGTAAGTTATTTTAAAATGAACTTACGTGGGCGTGCTCAACTTCATAAAAACTCTTTTGAAAAGAAGCTCTAATTTTGCCCAGTTGTAACTTTAAGTTGTCATTCATAGCCTCCAACATTTGACCATGTCACCAATACTGTTTCCCAAAATTTGCTTTAACTTCCAATGAATGGAGTTGACAACATTCAATTGATTAATGAAGATTTCTAACTTCTATTTGTAAATATTTGGATTCTATCACAATTGAAACATTAGAATCAAATCAATTACAACTGGAAGAAAAAATCAATGAATAGAATATTCATGGCTCAAATCAGTCACTCCAACATAATCTGATGGATCAGTTGAATAACTTATTAATCAGACGAGAATAAAGATGGAGTCCCATTCTACATGTCAATACCGACATCAATGAAATTTTGAGTAAGAGGAAAATCCGTCGATTTTAGAAATCTCAACCCTAAAATTAATACATATTAAAAAAATACAAAAAAGATATACAATTTAGAAATATTAAAAATAAATACATACCGATTAGTCGTGGTGTTACCCAAATGTAGCACTCGATTAATCCATGCTCCAACAAATCTTTGTCTATGTGGTGTCAACCATATGTCCTTCACATAATCAACAAATTCATTACAATCAACACACGTCTGCTCAAGTTGGTTCAACCTTTGATCATACTCAACCTCATCACTAGCCCATATAACATTCGTCCATAATTCGTCAATTTTCTTTTGCATGTTACTAGACACATTGTTTCCATTTTGCACCAACATTCTTGTTAATATGAAATCGAAATAGCAAATTGATCGACCTTGAAAACACATAATTCCAATGGCTTTCATCAAACCAAGATCTCTATCTGTCAAAATCACTTGTGGACACAAATCTTTCTTCACAAACAATTGTTTAAGCTTATCTAACACCCAACAAAAAGTCTTAATCTGCTCAGACTCAATATACGCAAATGCGACAGCAAAAGTCAACTCGGTTGATATCATGCCAACAATTTCAAACAGAGGTTGCCTATATTTGTTTGTCTTGTTAGTGTTGTCCATAACTAACACAATAGGAAAAATATTCAACAACTTAACTGAATCTATATCTCTAATAACTTCATAGTCGTCTCTTTTTCTACTCAAATAAACATAACCTGCATCCTCAATAAGCTTAAACAAATGTTGTATCTCACTTCTAGGACCTCTTATATTTTTTTCTATCATACTCTTCTGCTTGTATATTTGCGTGATCCGAGTGACATTATCTGGATCTTGCTCTTGCAATAAAAGCAATATATGTCTAGGTGGAACCTTTCTCTTTGTTAAATCAACAACATGTTGCTTCTGATCCGCTGTCAACCTACCAACAAATGTGTGACCTTCTAATCTATAAGGTAAACCATGGTTATGAACTCCACATTTTACATCAATCTTCCATCCAGATCCATCAGTCGCTGGAATTAACCTGATTTTAAATGGACATCCACATTTTTTCGTCGCACTCTAGGTTCCACTATCAATATCTTTATGTTTTCCACCTTTATCACATTCAAATATTAATTTGTTACTTCTTCTTCTCTTTCCTGTTTTAATATCTGAACGAGTGATGATAACCGTTACTTTATTTTAGATTCTGATCTCTTTAATCCATCTTATCATCTCTTCTCGTGTACCAAATCTTTGAGTAATTGAAAAAACATCAGACATATCTACACATATCTGATCTTTATCGCATATTTCTAAAGGAATTTCTATACTTGCATAAAAAATTTTACAAAAGCAAACCGGAAGACTCGGGAAAAGAGTTCCGGTAGACAAAGATAATAAACTGGAAGACTTAAAAAGTGTTCTGGTACACTTTTCCTCCATACCAGAACTCTTAAGACAAGTGTTCCGGTAAATAATACTACCAAACCGGAAGACATGACATATAGTCTTCCCGTAGATTTCTACGTAAAACTCAAACCTGAAGTCTTTGTTTAACTCTTCCGATACATATTTTGTATAAATCGGAACACTTAGCCAAAGTCTTCCGATTTGGAAAAAACAACATACTGGAAGTCATTTTAAAAGTGTTCCGAACGACTTGATGGGTGAATTTTTTAGAACTCTGAAAATCTGACAGGACAGTAAAAATTGAAAAAATAAAATA